AGATGACCTTGAGCTTCTAGAAAAGAATGACAACAACACATTCCACAATTTTACTCCTTTCTATTCCCCCCTCCCAACTACTACACTAATGAAATAGCACATTGAAATAAAAGAGTGTGTGGCAGGCCAAAGATCCTAAAATGAATAAAACTGCAGGCCTGACATTAACTCACATACGTTCAATGAGACTTTCATCCTTGGTTTTATGCATTTCTGTACAGGTATAGTATTTTTTATGTATAATACAACTCCACCTCCTCTTTTGTTAGGTCTGTTTCTTTTGAACAGTTTATATTCTTCTAGCACTATATTCCAATTGTGAGTTTCATCTCACCATGTTTTGGGAATGGCAACTATATCATACCTACCTTTGTGTACTGGTACTTCAGCCTGTTTTTTCCCCAAACTTTGTTAGTGTATAGGCATCTGACCCTGTGTCTGCTTTCTCCATCTCCTGCTTTATATCTGAGGTTTTTCTTCCTTCCCATTACTCTCTATCTCCTTGTTTTACTGCTTGTTTTGGGTTTACTAAAGGATATTAAAGATTTGTCACCCTCATTCCTCAATTGTAGTTTAAAGCCTTTCAGATAAGCTGAACAATTGTTTTCCAAATCCAGTCTTCCTAGTTCTTGTGAGGTGCGGCCCATCCCTTGGCAGAAGCCCTTCTTGTAGATAATGCAGACTGTGCTTTAGGAATCCAAAATACTCTTGGTGGCACTATCCTTAAAGCCAGTTATTTCTAAAATTCTTTGTTTCCTCATTGGATATTGACCTTTTGTTGGAAGTACAGATGAAAACACCACCTGTGCTCCTATCTCCTTAACTTTCTTGCCTAACTGGTCATGGTCTCTTGATATTGTTTTCAGTTTCATTGTCATGTCATTTGTCCCCACATGAAAGAGAAGAAAGGGATAATAATATGTGGGCTTGATTTGTCCAGAAAGGAATAGGATCTCTTGCTTAAGCAGCATTAGACTCTAAGGTCCCTTACAACTCTGTTATGCTGCATTCTGTCTTATAATCTACAAGAGTTATAATATCATTAAAAAAGAACAATATTCGATTCCTGATTCCTGGGTCTAGACAGCAAATTAGATATTAAAGGTGTTAAACCCTCCTACCTAATAATCAGAGGGAATTAAAATATGATTATAAAAGCCCAGTCCAGCTCAATACCACTAAAAAAGAAAAATAAGAAAGCCAAGAGATAAAAAACAGAATGGTTACATAAAGAACTCCTTGATAAACTGAAAGACAAAAAGGATAAGTACAAAGAATGAAAAGAGGGACACATAACAAAAGCAGAATACCGACAAATAGCCTGAATTTGCAAAGATGAAGTCAGAAAAGCTAAGGCTCAGAATGAAGTAAGATTTGCAGCAAATGTCAAAAATAATTTTAAAAGTTTCTTNGGACAAAGTCCATGCCACTCACTACTTTGAACAGTGTTAGACCTGTGCTGCTGTAAACAGCATTATTGTAGGGAGGAGTAGCTGGGAGAGGAGCGGTGAGTAGAGGCCAGCGTGGCATCCCTTAATGTGAGTGACATCAAGTTGGCCATGTCCACCCAGTCGCATGACCACTTAGCCGGTCATTAGGCAGATCATATTAGAGATTCACAGGATTTAAAATTATGAATTTAGTGATCCCTGAGGTCTGAAAGGTTGGTGACCCCTGCTGTAAAGCACTGTGAAGCAATATATAAGTCTAAGTGCTATTGCTATGCCATCTTGGCATCTGCTGATAGAGCATACATCTGGCTCATCTGTTATTGCTGCAGTTCTAGGATCTGAAGCCATGGCTTGGATATTCCAGAGCTCATTAAAATTTTGCTGAAGAGGAATAGTTCAAATTAATTTCAAGTCCCAGGGAAATCAGAAACTCGGGCTCAGCCTGATTATTTCCTACAGTTCCCTTTTTGGCTTGTTGATTGTCTCTTTTGCAAAGTATGTAGGTGTTGTTTATGTCTATGTATCAATTGTTGTCCAATTTGTCAGAGTGCCAGGTTTTCAGGAATTCCCTGGCATTTTTGGATTTTGCTTGATCTAGAATGACCACAGCTTCTCAGTTGAAACTATGATGAAGTTTGTCCATATGTTGTGAAATTAAAGAGTTGTTATTATGCCTTCTGACTACTAGTTGATCTTCTGCTAGTATTCTGCCTGTTTGTCCTATGTAGTGGCTGTTCTAATCTTTACACTGTATGTTGTAGATGACTCCTGTTTTTCTTCTACCACTACTGGGTCTTTTGTTTAATTAGGATATTTTGAGGACTTTAATTGATTTGTGTGCTATACTAATTCCATGTGGTTGTAATACTCTGTGGTTTCTGAGATGTTTTTGATGTATGGCGGTGTTATCCTTTTTACAGCTTGTGTTTATTGTACTATTTTGGTTGAGTGTTCAGGCACTTTTTGATGAAATTGCATGGATATCATTATTCTGTACCCAAACTAGGTAACATTCAGCACACTGAAACAACCAAGTTCAAAGAACACCAAGACCTCCTCATAGTAGGTTTTATGCAGCATAATAGCTACTAAGTATGAACATATTGTATCTTTTTAAGTGTCAGGAAACTTTTAAGTAAAAGAAAAGTTTCTTGATTTAGAAAAAGTTTGGGGATAGAAGAAATCCTGATTTGTTTTGTTTAGATCAAAGAAATACTTGAAAATCCTCATCTGCTAACAGTCATCAAAATTGAAGATGCTGGAGATGAAATTGTGAGCAATGCCATTTCATATGCTCTTTTTAAAGGTATGTTGTCATTCTTATTTTCTCATTCATTCAACTTGTATGCTACTCATTTCTTCAATATGCCCCCACCTCCAGGACCAGATTATTATTTGACTCTGCATGGGTAGCACTTCTCCAGATTGAGCTGGTGTGCAATTTGGAGGTCTTCCTGGACTCATGGCTCTTGCTTGAGGAGCTGGTAACAGCAATAGCTGGCTTTGCTCATCTGGTGTACCAATTATGCCTTTTCTGAGATTGGGAGGTCTTGCTCAAGATCACCCATGCCTTGGACTTCTCCTGGTCTAGAATGCAACAGCATGTACAGTAACAGGGACCCTAGATTTGCCCAAATAACACCCATGTTGCACAAGATACACTACCTTTCAGTTTCTTTCCAGGTGTTGAAAAGAAGATAGGAACTTGGGCAGACCCTCTGGAGGCTTGGCAGCAAAAGATAGTAGAGATGGAAGGATTATTTAGATTAAACAGGAAAGAGGTAGATAGACACTCAAGGCAGACATTTGGGAGGCAAGTAAAAAAAACGAATAAGAATTGAAATACTTAAAGGGGCAAGAGATGTTGGATAGAGGAAATGCTTTATAATGCAATATTGCCTCTATTAGGAGCTAGAACAGAGGCAGAAACAAGAAATAGGGGGAATATTATTATGCATATTTCTATAAAATATACTAAAAGCAACAGCTAAATGTAAAGATTAGATGTTGAAAGACAGTGTCACTATGTATGTTTTAATGATATTGTTATTGTCATTAGAATGTCATTCTAAAATACTGAACAACTAAATAATGAAGGCCTAATATTTTAACATAAATGTATAATAACATTACAATTACATAAGTATGATTAAAGAAACAAATATTATTAACATTACCATTATTACTTGTATCCAAATGAATGATACCCAGATTCCTCACTATTCATGTATTGATATTGATGTATATTTTTAAAAAAAGATTAGTGCTAGAAAACCAGGAGAGAGAAATGACAGTTGATGAAGCCCAGGGATGCTTTGAACCAGATTGTGCCAGTTTTCAAGGACACCAAGACACTAGAGATGCTTGGGGATGGAATGTCGATTACTCCTAACACTGAAAGTTCCCAAAACACCTAGACATCCACCTATTGGAATAGGGCTGGTCAAGGGGAGAGGGATGAATTGAACAAAAAATCTTGTATGATTTCATGTGGGAAATTTTGTTCTAGCCTGAGTTTACTGCTGCCTCTCTTGCCTCTTAGCACCCTCCTGCCGCCTCCCTTGCCTCTTAGCGCCCCCCTAAGTCATCCCCCCCAGGGGGCGGTACTGCCCACTTTGAGAACCACTGGTCTAAAGAAAACAAAGGGAGTGTCAGCCTCTGTTTCGCTATTTGCTTTTGGCTGCCATTGAAACGGGGAGGGGGGGCCTGGTATTTGGGAAGGGAACTTTTAAGTACAGGAGAGATTGTAAAAAGGGAGTTTTGTTCTCACCATCTACTGTGCATGCTGGAGATAGTGATTGGTGTGGCCAAGGCCAACCATCCTGCATACCAACCTGATGATACTCTTTGAAGATGGAACTCACATGACACTTAAGGGATTTGCAGATTGGACTGTGAGATGGGGTTACCAGGTGAAGGGGGTTTGGTCACATATTGATATGTATGATTTTGCATGCTTTTGCCTCAGATCTTGCCTTGCTTAGCTGCTATCTTTTCATAACCAGTAAAAGTACTCTTAATTCTGCGCAATGGAGTTAAGTGGTTTCTTTCTTGGTGGCTGAGGGAGCCTGGCTTGACAGGGAGTTAAACAAGATGGGTTGGAAAATGAGAATTGAACACTGTACTTCACAGAGTATGATTTTAATATTAACCATAGTTCCTTCTCCAATTACAGCTTTCAGCACAAATGAAGAAGATAAAGATGATTGGAATGGTCAACTGAAATTGCTTTTGGAATGGAATCAATTGGACATAGCCAGTGAAGAGATTTTTACCAATGATCGACGTTGGGAGGTAGGTAGTGCAGATTGAAAAAGCAAAATTTAGAAAGATTTTATATTGGTACAGATTGTTCTACATATAGTGTAAAATTCCATCAATAATATCCAACATAGACAAATCATAAAATAATGAATGTTGGAATTGCCACGAAGCAGAAGAAATGTTTTATAACAAGATACAAAGTCCGGTGCAGAAAATTTTGGAATTTCAATTTCAAATGAAACCACAACTTTTTTTTATTAGATATAGTTTCAGGAAAAAAATCAACAAAAATGTGATAATTTAATGAAATATAGGCTTACAGCAGGAAGAATAAATTTTGCTCTGCACTGGAAAATATTTTAATAACACTCAATTGGGGAATATGCAGCAATAATAAAACTCACAGTCTACATAAACAATAGAAGTTTAAACAAGAATAGTTCCCATACATATAATAGTTTACAGTACACATTCACAATACAAATTTAAATAGTCCACAACATGACAAATATAATTACTTACAATCTTGCTTCTAAGGTCTCTTAAAAGTCTATAATTTTGTAAATTAGCAGATGTACTGTACAAAAAGGGGGAAGTTAGAACGGCAATAGTTCTTTTTTGTTTATCTTTTCCCTTTTTTAAAAAAAATATTTTGTATACAATGGTACATTAACATTAATTGGTTCTGGGAGGCATGATGGGTACTAAAAACTATAAGTGCCAAACAAACCAGTTGACTAGCCACATGACCCTTTATTTTGACCGGAAAAATTGTCTTTTTTTCTATGTCAGTGACCATCCCAGCCTGGGCAACTTTCTGTTCCCTCTCTGCAACCATCCCCCTCTTGCTTTTGCAGCACACTGAACACCACTATATGAGCATTGGGACAATATTTTCTCATAAACATGTGTCAAGTACCAAATTCGAAGAGTTTTGAAGCAGTCAAATACCATGATACCACTATAGTTTTTAAGTTTTGTTAAAGAATTAAAACTTAGCTATTCATTCCTTTTATTAACATGTTATCATATTAAGTTATGGAGATTTCAATATTAAGTAATCAACTCAAGTACAAAATTTTTATTATACAATAAAATACTTTATTGTATTTGCAAATACTCATCTGCAATATTACTTTTTTCTAGTGTTATATTCAGCTTTTCATTGATGAAAAAGTCAATAATTTTATATTTGTAATATAAACATCCTTAATTGTAATTGGTATTGATAGAACATTTCTATCTTTTTTTCTTTACAAGGCCCATGGGCCAGATCTGACCCATGATGTGGTTGGTTCTAGCCCATGGAGCCACCCTGGAAACAGCGAAGGACCACCTACAGCTCCTCAGTCCAGCCCGGTCCAACTGGGGGCTGATCTACAACCTGGCAGCAGCCATCTGAGCTGCAACGTAGTCAGCCTTAGATCCACAGAGCCGGCCTGGAGCCACCAAGGGGTCATACCTGCTCTGCCCTGCCCCTCTCTCCCCTGTCCCCTACCCCACCCCCTAGGCATGGGCACACAGGAGGTGGTGAGCATATGCAGGGCCTGGCATCCCTGTGGATCATCTTGCCCCACAGGCTGACTGCATTCTGAGTTCTTCCTTTCACCCAGGATGCCAGTGCTCGCCACCTCCTGTGCGCATGCCCAGGGAATAGGGCCAAGGCACTGGGGTGGTCTCTTGCTGATTCCAGGGCAGTTGTGCATGTGGCTGCCACAAGATATAGATCAGCACCCAATTGGCCTTGGCCAGGTCGAGGTGATGTAGGCTGGTCCTTTGCTGTTATTTATTTGTTTGTTTGTATGTTTGTTTGTCAAACATGTATAAGATAGCAGATATAAGTATGAACATGGACATGAAATTAGGAAATGAATATAAATAAATGGGGATAGTAGGACAGGGATGGTAGGCACCCGGGTGCACTTCAGGGACGTGCACTCACTAAAGGCAGGGGAGGCGGGGCCTCACCAGTCTCCTCAGGAAAGGAAGGAATTTTAAAGATTTTTTTAAAAATAATTAAAGCCAAGCT